CTGGTGCTGGGCATGTCCATGTACTACCGGACTATCCTCCTCGATTCCAACTGGTGGCCTCTGACCGAGTTCGGAATTAACTTGGCCTTGTTCTTTCTGTACATGTCGGCTGCCATAGTGTACGTAAATGATACCAACAGAGGTGGGCTCTGCTATTACCAGCTGTTTAAGACGCCGATAAATGCGTCTTTTTGCCGTGTTGAGGGAGGTCAGACAGCAGCAATCATCTTCTTGTTTGTCACGGTGATCATCTATCTAATTAGCGCGGTGGTTTCTCTGAAGTTATGGAGGCATGAAGCAGCTAGGAGGCACAGAGAATTAATGGAGCAGGAGGTGAGTCTTAGTTACCGTTTTGTATCTACGGGGTGTGGTGTGATGGGGGCAGTTGTAAGATCTTTCTATGCCGTAGGTAGAGCAGTTGTAAGATCTTGCTGTGCCATAGACCAGGTGTTTTTTTTGCAGAGGTCCACAGAGGGTGAGCTTCCACCAGTCTTAACAATATTTAAACTCATCAAATGAAAGGCATTTTTAAGATATCTGATCCAAATTCTCAGACTCTTTTACTACTCTTATTTTAATTCACTTTGGTAAGGAGCTGGCTCTGTTCTCTTTGTAATACTCAGCTCTCTTCCTGCCTCAGCTGATGAACTGCTTCCTGGTGTATTTCCCAAACAAAGGAAGAAATGAGCAATGTGCTTGTTCAGCTGACCAGCAGGGTCAGGCTTAAAGCCACCTAACATGTATTTGCAAATTGCGCTTTCAGCACAGTAAGTGCTAGTGCGAATGACCATAAGCACATGAAATACTTTTACTTTGCAAGCAAAACTCCGTGGTGCTTCTTCACGTCTTTTCAGCTGTCCTTACAATAGCTATCAGAAAATAATAGTATTGATAGAGTTGACTGGGTTTTGGTATCTCAGATTTCAATCACCTTCATCTTTTTCACATCAAGTATATTCTGCATTGCTGCTGGCCTTGCCCTTACTTGGAAGCATTCGATACTCGCCTAGTTAATGATAAACTGTAACAGTAGAGACATAGCACTCTCAACTAGAGAATTCAAAGTCATTGGTGTTAAACCTCCTTCACATGAAAACACCACCAGAAAAACCCATTTAAAAATCAATAAAGCTTAATATAGCATAAAAATAAATGTATGTGAATCGCATTTACATGACTCCAGTAGGAGAGAGCAAGTTTAAAGTCACATTTCCTCTGCTCTGTGACTGCAGTGTTTTCATTTAGAACTTGGTTTCCATTCCATCATCTTGTGACTTCCCTTTGGAAAAGTACATTGCATTTCTGATCAAAGCTCTTTAACCAATTTTGGTACCTCCTGAGAGAACGAGGTGACTGCTGGAGTTACACAGAAGGCATTCAGCCACTTTGCCCTTTTACTGTCCATGTTCTTTTAATCCAGTTACTTACTATATCTAAAGGAAATACTTTTATAATACAGGTCAGGCTTTGGAGAGTGCTGTGCAAAACAGCTGCTGTTTGATCTACCGCTTTGTGCACTGTTGTTTTCTAAGCAAAGAGTTAGGCTGTAGAGTGTCAGTGAGTTAATACAGGCTGGAATGTGAAATAATAAAGGAGGCTGGAAGTGGACTGAGTGATTCCTGCAAGCCGTTCTTACAGCTATGCTCTGGGAGCTCTTGTCATTGTTCTGAGTTTTGGGTGGTTGTTTTTGTGCCACAGTTCTTAAGCAGTCTTTAAATCGATTGCTCTGGAAATACTCCTTATACTAAATTTCTTCATACCTAATTATAAATGTAATTTTCTGAACAGCATGATTTTAAAAAAGTTTAGATATTAAAAGTCTGTGGGTTTGCATACTATTTTTGCTGCAAATAAAACTTAAGAATTCTTTCCATGTTTTTTGTCAGATGAAAACACAGTCCGCTTTTGCAGAAAAGAAGGTAGGAATAAGGAATTTATTTTTCTGTTTTCTAGTATGCTCAAATGGTTATTCTTTTTCTTGTGACTATTTTGATCTATTTATTTATTTACTTATTAGTAGGTTTAATTCTTTAATGTAGTCCAGATGACATTCTCCTACCTAGAAGTTTCAGAAGAACCTTGTAAGGAAGATAGTACTAGTTAGCCTAGGTTATATAATGTACTGTATATAGCAAATCTGATGACTGCTTCTGTATGTGCTCTTACCCTTTTTTATGAAGTTATGAGTTCTGTAGGATGTATCAGAGTTTGGCTTGACATGGCTAAAACAGCAGGTCATCCAATGTGTTGTGGGTTTTAGAGACTCCCTCTCTTCCTGGTGGTCTGCTTGAGGAGAGCCAGTGGAAGCATAGTGGTAGGTGCTCTGTGGGTTGAGCTTGGTCCTGTGACTAAGGCTGTTCCAAAGACCTCCTTGCTGGTTTTGAATCATCAGCAATGTTAATGCTTCTGCCACACAAAGTTGCATACACTGCAAAGGTCATACAGGATCTTAACAGCAGGTGTTGGTGACTCCCAGAAGATTTATGGCGTGTCTGTTTCAGCTTTAAATGTCTCCTGTTAGATACTGTGAATTTCCTGTCACCGTTTTCTCTGTTGCTTCAGTACCAGATTATGTTTTTTTTATGTGTTCCAGCAGGACTTCACCTGCTTTTATTTCTTGATAAAGGGATAAATTGTGCAATAGGAAACAAGGGGAAAAGGGTACCCCAGAGAACTGAGTGATTCCTGTTCATTCACAAATTGGATAGCCAAGGAAACTTCCTCAAATTATTCTTTTAAGACATACAAGACAAATCGTTTCAAGCCCCTTTCTTTTCTGTCAGTGGTACCACTGTTTGGACAAACTCAAGATGGAGACTAAGTGAGAAACATTACTGTAGCTCTTTAGTAATTTTCTAATTACAGTAAGGATTATAAGAAATACCTACAATTTCCTGCTCAATAGTTGTATGTGTATCTTCAGATAAGTTGGGTATTTTGTGGTTTATGTATATTACATTTTAAGTAAAACCAACTTAAGAACTGGTTTTGGTTTGGTTTTTTGCTTGTGATTTTTTTTTTAACAGTATGAGAGTGATGACAGACCAAAAGAAGAGGTCACTTACGGGCAGCTTAAATCGGTGGAAAGAAAACCGGAACTACTTAATGGTCATATACCCGCAGGCCACATTCCTAAACCTATAGTGATGCCAGACTACTTAGCGTAAGTGACTCGACTTTGATGAACAGACTTAATGGAGAATACTTCAATGATGCTTTTTACTCACCGTTTCTCATGTATACATTTATGGTTTCTCAGCCATGCCTGCACTATGTGAGCTCATAATTGTTTGTTAAGTTATGTTCAAAATAGACATTGTGGGGGCTGGTATCACTGGTACAAAACCAGTAATGTAAATAGAGAAACTTAAAATAAAAAAAACCAAACACTTCAGATGTTAAAGCAGGAAGTGTATATATACGGCAAGTGTAGTAACTGCCAAAGGAACAGATGACCACCACACAGACAATTTAGGAAAAAATAGAATACAATACAAGGGGAAATTACTTGTCTGAAATTTGACTTCTCTTGTATTTCCTAAGTGCTAAATCTGTTAACATGCTCCCTTTTTAAAAGGTAGGTCTTTCCATAGTGAAATATGAGAGCATAAATTAATTTTTATACTATCTGCCATAGACCAGGGTACAAACTGAAACACAGGAGGTTCCACCTGAATTTTGGGAAAATCTTTTTCACTGTGTTAGCACAGGTTGCCCAGACAGATTATGGAGTCTCCCTGGACACAGTCCTGGGCAACCTGGTCTAGGTGGCCCTGCCTGAGCAGGGCGTCTGAACCGTATAACCTCCATTCATCTGGTTTGACCTCAACCATTCTGTCATTCTGTGATTCTAATGCTTTACATAGATGCAGATTTTAGCAGGTTATGAGATTAGCAAGCAGTACAGAAATACACTGTCAAGGTGAACGGTCCATGTGTTTGCTGAAGTCCTAGCTCTAAAACTAATCCTTGAAAACTTTTTCTTATTTTTTCTTTTTTTTTTTTTTTTTTTTTTAAGGAAATACCCAGCCATTCAAACAAATGAAATGCGAGACAGGTACAAAGCAGTATTCAATGATCAGTTTGCTGAGTATAAAGAACTGTCAGTAGAAGTTCATGCTGTATTAAAAAAATTCGATGAGCTGGATGCATTGCTGAGACAGCTTCCTCACCATCCTGAAAGCATACATGTAAGTACTTGTGAAATGGGCTCAGGGAAATCAGGTGTTAGGCAATTTCTGACTGTCTTTAGGACACAATGTCTTGTCATACAGGCAGTGACTTGGAGGGAGAGAAAGTTTCTCCAAATATTTTATTTCTTGTTTGATTATCAGTCAAGTATACCAAGTTGGAATTAAGTTGCATACATGTTTTTCTGGTATTCATGTTTGTTTGGTTTGGTTTTTATGTGTTAGTAACTTTCACATTTAAGTGAGTTACAGTTAATGTATTTTCACTATTTCTCAAATGCGAAATTTACAACTAAAATGTTACAACTAGGATGGATTGATCAGATCATACTTTTACTTCTGACAAGTATTTTGTAGAATTTACATGAAGGTATGGAGCAAACTCAAAATGTTTAAAAGTAAAAGTGTGTGGTCTCTCTCATTAGGAACAGGAAAGGATATCAAAAGTTCTGCAAGAATACAAGAAGAAGAAAAATGTGAGTGTTTTCAGCTTTACATTGCTAGTAAATCTAATGAACAGCAAAGAGAATGTAACTAGCCAACATGTCTGACACTTGGTACAACTCACGTAGCCGTTATAGGGCTTTATATATTTTATCTCTGGCAAAATTAGGACACAACCCTCTCCACTCATGCTAAGAGCCTGTTTTGCGAATAATTATTCCATTAGTCAGATGTGGGGAGAAAAAAAACCCCAAACCAACAGTTAAGTATCTTCATCTCCTGAAAAGTATGTCTCATCTCTTAGCATTCTGCATTAAGAAGATTGGTTATTTTGAGGGATCCAGCACATTTCTATTCACTGGCTGACACAGCCAGCAGATAAGCTAACAACAGAAAACACAGTCTTAGCCTTGAAAAGTGGCTTGGAACTTAGACTCTCAAAAAGTAATTTTCAGTGTTATCCAAGAGGTTTCACTTTGTCATTTTTAAATGCAGGCAGTACAGATGTACCTCTGTTCAATTAAAAACATAATGCATTACAAATACCCTACAGCCCTTCCCTCCACCATCACCCCACCCCCCGAAATTTGACTTTTGAGTCTAAGTTTGTTAAACTTCATTGCTTTTTTTTTTGGGAGGGAGGGATTTATTAGACATACCATGACATACCTGTAAAATCTAAATTATGTAGCGGAGTGTAAGTTACATTTTCATATTTCTGTTTAAAAACAGCTCTGTGTACTAAGTAACTATGGCATATAAAAGCAGAACCTCTTTTTCCAGCCTTTCAAAAAGGAAAGGGAAGCAGGAAATAAGAAATAGTGGCCACGGAATACGTGTGATTTTGGAGAGTATTTATATACTGTCCTTAATCAGGAACATAATTGATAATACACTATTCTTGGAACAGTCTGAAAGTGTAATGTATTAATGTAAATGTTTTGTATTTTTGGCAGGATCCTGCATTTCTGGAGAAAAAGGAGCGTTGTGAATACCTAAAGAATAAGCTTTCTCACATTAAACAACGAATTCAGGACTATGATAAAGTTATGAATTGGAATGTAAAAACTTAGCTATGCCTTCACTTGTGGATGTTATTTTCTACGTTTTAAATCAATATGTGTATTTTAAACTATTTATTTGCTTTCAGAACAGTTATGGGGATTACTTAATCACTGTGTCACTTAACCTGAATGTTGTACATTACTGGTAGGTTTTGTATGCAGATCCAATTTTAAATCAATGTCGTGAAGTTATCTGATAAGTTTAGAAAACCTGTGCTAACATTCTGTTCTTACTAGACAGTACAAAGCCTGGCCTCTTAAATATGAATACTTTGTTTGGAAATACTGTATTTGCAAACTTGCAGAGCCCACTGGAGAAGGCAGTTCTAAATCCCATGTCAAAAGTGCATAGAGATGCTGTTAACAATTTCAGATTCTATTTATAGGTGACATCTTAATGATAGCAAAAAGCATTGAGCTGTTCTTTCTTAGAATCACGTAATAGAATTGTACAATAGTTAGGATTGGCAAGGACCTTAAGATCATCTAGTTCCAACCCCCCTGCCATGGGCAGGGACACCTCACACTAAACCGTGTCACCCAAGGCTCTCTCCAGCCTGGCCTTGAACACTCCAGGGATGGAGCATTTACAGCTTCCTTGGGCAACCTATTCCAGTGCCTCACCACCCTCACTGTAAAGAACTTCTTCCTTATATCTAATCTAAACTTCCCTTGTTTAAGCTTGAACCCATTACCCCTTGTCCTACCACTGAAGTCCCTAATGATGAGTCCTTCCCCAACATCCTTATAGGCCCCTTTCAGATACTGGAAGGCTGCTATGAGCTCTCCACGCAGCCTTCTCTTCTCCAGACTGAACAGCCCCAACTTTCTCAGCCTGTCTTCATACGGGAGGTGCTCCAGCCCCTGTATCATCCTCATGGCCCTCCTCTGGACTTGCTCCAACAGCTCCATGTCCTTCTTATGTTGAGGACACTAGAACCGTACACAGTATTCCAAATGAGGTCTCACAAGAGCAGAGTAGAGGGGCAGGATCAGCTTCTTCGACCTGCTGGTCACGCTTCTTTTGATACAGCCCAAGATACGGTTGTTTTCTGGGCTGCGAGCGCACACTGAAGCTGCCTCATACTCAGCTTCTCATCAACCAACACCCCCAAGTCCTTCTCCGCAGGGCTGCTCTGAATCTCTTCTCTGCCCAACCTGTAGCTGTGCCTGGGATTGCCCCGACCCAGATTGCTGGGGTTTAGTGGAGTGCTTAATCATACTGAATAATTTTGGCTAGTCAAAAATTAGTTTAATAAGACTTTATATTGTGTTTCCAAATACTCTACTGTATGTCAAAAATTATCTGGAATTTCACCTAAGAGATGCAAAATCACTTCCTATTTATGGAGCAGGGTGGGGGGAAGGGGCAAGTTGTGCTGGGGTTTTGTTGGTTGGTTTTTTTTTGTTGTTTGGTTTGGGGCTTTGATTTTGTGGGGCTTGTGGAGTGTTGGGATTTTTTTATTGTTGGGCGGGGGGGGAGGTTTGGTTGGTTGGTTGGTTTGGGTTTTTTGTTGTTTTTTTTTAATTCCCCTCTTTCAATGTAATGCAACAAATTTACACATGGCCTTAAGGGAACAGAGGTCCAGGATGAGACTTGTGTTAGTGTTCCACTAGTGTTGCTATGGGCTAGTATTCTTTGCACACCTTTTCTAGATCACCCTGTAGGAAACCTTGGGTTTAAAGGTAAAACACTATTCTTCATCAGCAAGTAACAGAACTTTTTGTCTAAGCAGCAGCTTTTTGTGAAGTTGGCATTCAGAGAGCAAGTGCTGCAAAACTAATTCTCATCCAGAATATAAATTATTAGTATCCTGTATACGGCCAGGAAAAATGTTTTAACAGATGTGCTTTCCAGAGTGTATCTGCATAAATTCAATATACATTTTTATACTTTATCTTGGGGATAGATTTGTATATGCAAATGTTTTCATAAGCCTATAAACATTCTTTGTATCTTTTTTCACATCTTTGTTTACTTTTTTTACTTACTAAAATTGTTAGAAGCATTGATAGTTTCTTTGTACAGTTTTCTACAACTGCCATTTACCTGTTCGGAAATACATTTTAATATGAAAAAACACCCCTCACCAGTGCAGCCGTGTTACTCTATTGCTTATAAAGGCATCATGTTAGAAGAAGGTGCTCTGATGAAGGTTATTTCAAATTTTTCTTTGCCATCTTTTTTTTTTTTTTTTTCTTTTTTTTGAGAAAGGGGTTTTGCTTTTGCCTTAATTTAAAGGAAAGACATAGAATCATAGAATGGCTGGGACTGGAAAGGACCTTAAGATGATCTAGTTCCAACCCCCCTGCCATGTGCAGGGACACCTCGCACTAAACCATGTCACCCAAGGCTCTGTCCAGCCTGGCCTTGAACACAGCCAGGGCTGGAGCATTTACAACTTCCTTGGGCAACCCATTCCAGTGCCTCACCACCCTCACTGTGAAGAACTTCTTCCTTATATCTAATCTAAACTTCCCCTGTTTAAGTTTGAAGCCATTACCCCTTGTCCTATCACTACAGTCCCTGATGAAGAACCTCTCTCCAGCAACAGTGATGGTTCTTCTAACTTTTTCAGTACTGCAATTGCACTAATATACCTTGCTCTGGAAGTTATATCGCATCTGATTTTTGAGCCCTTAACCATTCACACTGCAATCCTGATGGCTACAAACACACTTTCATATTTATAAAATTGGCATTCAAATTTTATCACACTTTATTACAAGAGTTTTAGTGGATTTAAGTAAATATCACAAGACTGGTGAGAGAATTTGAAAACTTGGCAACTCCTTCATTTGAAAGCCTTCAGTCTCGTCTACCTGGAAGGTGTCTCAGTATTTCCTCAGCCTAAAATCAGATGGCAGTCAGTGCTATCCCTTGTTCTCCCTCTCTTCAGGTGCCTCTCAGATTCTACCTTATAAAGGAGCTGGGCCAAGCTGCGCTGTATACTTGTCAAGCTATTCTTTGTACATGAGGTCCTTGTCTAAATCCCTGCAACCTAAATGATCTCTTGCTGTACACCCACATTTCTTTTTTTTTTTTTTCTCAGTGGGAGTTCTGGGCATTGCATCAGTAACAGAAGAAGATTAATCCAAGTTTAAGGATCATTCTGATGTTTAGAAAGTGCTAAAAAGAAGCTGACTGGAGTTTTCTTTGGAAGAGTCAGTCCACACCTTTAACAGGCCTCCCTCTAGTAGGACACTGGCACCCAGCTCCAGGCTTCCTCTGGCAGTGGTCCGAGTTTCAGTCTCTGAGGAGCTGGCTCCTGGCCCCTTAGACAGTGCCTGCATAGCCTCTGCAGAACCATCGTGCTTCTTTCCTGCAAAGATTCCAACAAATGGGATGGGAGAAGGGGATGCCATGCCTGTGGCTGGAACATGGAAATAAACGAAGGGGACAGGGAGACAGCTGTATGTAGATTGCTCCACATTTCCCAATAAAGTGCCAAAGGTCTATTTTCCAAAAGCTGGGGAGAGAAGATACATAGGAATACTCCCTTCTGCCAGCCTTTTGGGTTTCAGATAGGATTAGTGCAGCGCATGGAGCCCCAGGAGAAGGTATTTACCTTTGTAACTTAAAAAGTCCAGCACGGTAACCCATTAGAGTAAATTACTTGCTCAGTCCCAAAGCTGTTAGGAACTCTGACACTGCTAAGCAGGCACTACTGGTGCATACAACTGGTAAGCTGGCTTTGTTGTAACCTGTCAATGAAGGACAGAAAAGGGTCTTGTCAATGATCCTCTGAACATGCCAGATTAAAAAATACTAGTCTAAGAAACATTTTTCTCTCTCGAAGAAACTGAGATCAATGCAATAAGAATTAATGACTGGGAGTTAAAGCCAGTCAAATGGAAGACACAAATTAGGCGGAAATCCTAACTGTCACTTAACTATCAGGGGAAAGTGGCCTCTTGATATGCTCAAAGAAGGTGTACTTCAGACCAAACTAAAGTTATTAGATGATTATCACCTCAGTCTCTCAGTCTCAGCTTTGTTAATCCGCATGTACATGTAAACAGTCTGCTGTGTTGTCTTACTTGTGTGACTGGGTTTCTGCAAAAGGCAGTTAACATTTATTTAAATCTTATCAAGTAATATTGCCCTATATCAATGGGTATACAGTGTCCACTTACAATGACAGCCTGTCCTCACACACAGAGTGTATATAGCAATAACCTTATATTCTTCAATCTTCCTCTGAGAAAATGCCCACCTGGCTCCATGGATGTACAAAGGGAAATGCCTAAGAGACTTCGAGTTTCCAGGAATATAGTAGTTTTCAAACTGGACTTGAATAATCAATAAACGGTCTTTTTTTTTTTTTTTCCCTTGATAAACATCTGGATATCCTTGATCAAGGTAACTGTGTCAACATACCCTTACCTAATCTGTACATTGTTGCAGGGCAGATAAAGCAGCACCTAACAAATGTAACCAGAAGTCTGTATTGCACGGTATAGTGGACCAACTTCCATGACCGTGATTCAACTAAAAAACTTGTGGCAATGAAAAACCTAATTGATTTGAAATTGTAGAAGCAGTTATCCAGTATTTATAATCTCAAAATAGTGGTGGGATTTGAGCCATTTGGACAGTCATAATTTACAAAGTTATTGTATATCCTGAATTCCTGTCCAGCATTGAAATTCTTGGACGTGACAATAATAAAATATCCCTTTTCTGGAAGAAGTCTCATTTCTCTCTTCTACTAAAATTGTTAGCTTGCATCCGTTCTTCCATTTCCATTTTATAAATTGGGCTTTTTCCTTCTTAAGAAAGGATGACGTGATCTAATAGGAGTAGCTCAAACTACAACTTTTATTTCAGTTCCTGGAAGGAAATCTTGACTTCTTAAACAGAATAATTGCCCTTTTTCCATCTTCAGTAGTTTTCATTACTTCACAGTATCTTGGATTTTTTCCCAGGTATGGTTTAACTGAAAACCAATTCATTTCTTCTCTGTTTCCACTATATCTATAAATTGGTCCTGATAAATGCAACAAGC